CCTCCTGCCTTCTTCCTACTACATTATCATCTTCATCATCTACCACGGTCCTTCGACTGAGAGCGCACGGGTGGAAGGATGAAAGCAGGAGGAGGAGGAGGAGGAGGAGGGAGGAGGAGGGTCCGTATAGCCATTTTGGCTCATGCCAGGTGCCTGGCCCATAGCCGTCGGTTCAACCAGCGGGTGGAGCGCGCGTGGCCTGAATGGCTGCGGGACGCCGCTCGGAGGCACTGGCACCGGTGCTGCGCAGCGCGGCTGGCGCACGCGCTGGTGGAGACCAGCTCGTGTCCAAGCTGCAGGGCGAGCCTTCGCGCCTTCGGGCACGACTGGGCGGTAGCGACGACCGCGGCGCGGTCGCAGTCGAGGTAGCGCGCCGCAGGGCCCAGGCCCGCCCCGCGCTCGCGGCCCGCGTCAGCGGCCGTGTGGAGCCCAGCGCGGTTCGGCCCGTCAGGAATGTCGCCCTCCACGCCAAGGCCTGCCCCGCTGCCGAAGCGCCGCTGGCGGCCTGGCGCGCCGCGCAGCGCGGCCCTCGGTTGGGGGCCGACGGCGGCGCGGAGGAGTGCGACGACGGCGCCGGGGACCCCATCCCTGGTGCTCGGGGCCTCCTCGACTGCAGCGGGAGCCACCGCCTCTCCCCGTCACAGGTGGCGTCGCGTGGCGTGCAGAGGTCCTGGAGGGGGCTCTGGCGTCGTCGGCTTCGTGCTCACGCCTGCGTGCGGGCGCCGTGACGTTCGTCCCGCAGACGGCCGACTGGGAGCCCAGGCCTCCCTCGGCGCTCGTCAACGTCCGCACGCACGGCGGCATCCCGCGTCTGCAGGCAGGCCCGCCCGCGCACGGCGCCCACCCTCCAGGGGGGCGATGCGCCGCCGAGGCGTCCGCACGCGGCAGCTCGCTCGCCGAGGCCCCGCCCGAGGCCGCTCCGAAGAGGCCCCGCTTCCGATCGCGCCTTGTTGGCCGCACCTCGGGGAGCTTCTTGGAGGCATCTAGGAGGCACGCTGCCCGCGCGCACGGGCTCGCGGGGGCTGCTCGCCAGAGCCACAGCGGACTGCAGCGCGGCGCCCACCTCCTGCCAGAGGGCCGCGGCCGGGCGGCCCGGCGTCGCCGCCCGCCAGGGCCGCAGGCAGGCGCTCGGCGGCCAGGGCGCCGCCCCCTGGCGCACCCCTTTCCCTGCGAGTCGCGCTCGAGCCGCCCTCGCGGGGCCCTGCGCGAGAGGTGCGGCAGAGGAGGCCACGCGGCTGCTCTCCCAGGGCGTCGAGGACGCGATGGCCAGCTCCGGGGAGGAAGCGTTCACTCAGGCGGGCTGTGGCCCGGAGCCTCGGCGGGGCAACGACGGCCCGCAGTGGACGGCGCCCCACGCCGAGACTGAGACAAGCTCGGCCCGAAAACCAGTGGATGACTTCGTGGACAGCAGTGACTATAAACAGTTAGAGGGGCGGCCGGGGGATCTGAACTGGTCGGGAGCCCAGAAGATCTGCCAGGAGCGGGGAACGAAGCCAAATCTGTCAAAACCTGCCCCCCAGCCCCCCTCACGGGGTCCATCTGGTGCAATTTGTCACTCTGGATACGTTTTTCTTGGTCCCGGAGCCCGAAAACGGCCCCCACAGGCACAAAGGGCAAGAAACCTTCTCGAACCCAGAAACTCAGACCTGCCCACCCTCCCTGCTGGCCGGAGGCCGTGCGGGGCCACCTCAGACCCCCAGCCGGCTGCAAGCGCCCAGCGCCGAGACTGAGGCAAACGAAGTCCGAAAACCAATGGATTACTTCGTGCACAGCATTCGGCGGTGGATAGACCTCCCTTTAGTAAACCTCCATTTAGCGAAAACGGCCCAGGACCGAAACCGACGGACCTGGACCCGCAAAAATGACTGCCGCGACGCCCTCGCGCGAACCGAAAACGGCCAGTTCACTCATCGCATCGACATGTCAGGGTCGGAGGTCTGTCAGCCTCCGAACCATTAAGACCGGGACGCCCTTCGTCGAGGAGAGCCGTCGACGGGGGGCAGCTGGTCAGGCAGGGCCTCGGCAGGCTGGCCTGCTGCCGCCCGCGCGGCGTGCCGTGCGGCCTCCTCTCGCGAGAGGTTGCCGCCTCCGCCCCGGGGGGGGCCGGCGGGGCCCTCCCGGTGGAGTCCGGATGATTTTGAGGCTCAGTGCCGCTCCGGGCCTGCGCATCTCCTCGTCTGGCGCAGACGGACCTAGACATCGGGCGTCTCGCAGAGATCGAGACGGAGGTCTTTCGTCGTTTTTGTTGCCCTCTCGGGGCCCTCGCCGGGCCTCGGGGCCCTCAAAGAAACGACTCGGGATGAGAAACCGGCCCCGGGGAGGTGGTCGGGAGGTCACTGGCCCGGCTCGAAGAAATCGAGGCGTTGGATGTCTGGGGACCAGGAGGATGCGCTCGCCCTGCTCGGCTGTGCCGTCCTGCCTCGAGGAGGGGGACGGAGTCGCGGCCGTTGCGGTGGCCCTGGGAAGGCGGCAACGACGGTTGGGTCGCGCATGTCCTCCT